TATGTTAATTTTAACTCGTGGCATAAACACATTAACGCATTGTTATGTATAATTTACAATAATTTCCAAACTATTATTTTACAATTTTTATGTACACTCTACTCATTTTGTTATCAAGTAATAAACATATTTAGATCATACATGAATATTTGCTCAGTTAAAACAAACAAAGCCTTACAATTTCAAGTAAACATTCTATTGTTTCTAATACAGAAACAAATATAACATCCGATTAATAAAAATCGTTAAAATTTACATAATAGCTGAAGATTTTCTCCCCACTCCCCATTGAAGCATATTTTATAAATTGACCGAAACCTTCTAGGCATTCTGGGCATTTCTATATGATTAATTGTTAGTTTATATTAGTATTTAATTTAATCAAAAAGTGTAAGTTAGCACAATTAAGTAAAATCAAATATTTTTCTTTGGACGTATATGTACTGTATTTTTATTCTCATTCTATTTATAACAATTTTCAAACTATTATTTTACAATTTCTTTTATACATTATTACTAATTGCTTACACATTCTAATAATCATATTATTTAACAATTTTTATAATTAAAATTTACATAAAAATTTCTTCAATCAAAACAAAAATAAAATCTTAAGCATTTAAAAATGTTACATTAAAATTTGTATAAATCAGGGCTTCTCAAAATGTGAGTCGATCAAATAGAAAAGTTTAAAAAACCCTGATGCAAATTACATACGTGTTACAGCTTAAAATAATAAATTAACTTAAAAGGTGTATAACTTGGTACTACTAAAATATTTAATATCGATCATATTTTTTATAAAGCAAAAGTAAATCCTAACTTAAAGCAACACTAAAAAAAAGAAAAACCGTTTACTTATTTAATCTTTATATTACATAAACATCTAAAAAAAATTATATTGTATACGCTAAAGTTATTCATTAATAATTTCATTAAAATAAAAAAAAATTAATTTTCATGTAATATAAATTAATGATTAATAAATTATAATTGTGATGATATAAGGTAATGAATATTTAAAAATAACTCATGTAGAATTGTAGATATAACACAAGTACTATCGCATGCTGTGAATTCTAAACAGATATATGTTTCCAAAAATAGTATCACATTAGATTACTTTCAATAATTAATTAACTATTCTATCAATTAGATACAAACAAGTATAATTATTACTAAGTAACATATGACTAGTATTCATTCGTTCGTTCACTATTATAGCTTCTGTATAGCTTATAATACAATAAGATTTTATACTTTTTTATTACTACACACTCACGCGCGCACACTTTCTTATTAAATATCAATTGTAGTAAAAGTAGAGATTTCCGGCTCAGCTGGTATCGTTATACCACCAGTGTCAATATTTTCTTCTTCTTCTCTTGGTAGTTTTAAAAAACAGTGCATCGTTTCTTCGTCTTCTTGTTCTATTGCAGAACTATTTTTAATATTTTCTCTCGATGACAAGGACCCTTCAAGATGTTTCGATGGAATTTGAATAGTAATTGTTTGTGATGTACCATCAGCAGATGTCGAGGAAGACATTAAATTAGCTTCTAATGTATCACCAACTTTCGAAAAGGCACCTAAACAACTATAGATTAGTTGTGCTGCTGCAATATTACCAGGAAATACTTCGACATTTTCATCACCTACAAATTAAAAAAATTCAATAATTACGAACATATTTAATTGTAATAATATATATGAACTTTTTTTCTTATTTCAGCATACTAAAACCATCCCTGAAATTATGCCCACATATTTTTAAACATCTTTTGTATATTTAGAAAAGATAAAGAATAAGTACCTTTCTTTTGTATATTTGATTTAATCAAACCCTTTTCATGATTATGAATATGCTGTATATAACTTTCTTTTTTAACTGTTTTAAAAGAACAGGAATCACAGGTGAATAAACCAGATAACAGAGGGTGTCTTGATTTCAAATGATTTTTATAACTGCTACTTTGAATCGCTGCATATGAACAGTGAGGACACTTATATGGTCTAAATCCTATGAAATAATTTCATATAAAATAATATTAGTTAAAATTCAAAAATAATGCTATGTTTTAAGTTAATACATATTAATTTTTCTAAGAAATACCTGTGTGTTGCATAATGTGACGTCTTAACGTATTGTGATCACCAGTTTTATATTCACAGAGTTCGCAGCTAAACGGTTTATCGCCTGTGTGCTGTCGCAAATGCATCTGTAGCATAGCTTTTCTAGCGCTAGAATGCCCACAAACATTGCACACATAAGGACGCAGTTTTGAATGAACCGCTTGTATATGATTTTTCAAACATTTAGAATTTGCATAAGTTTTTCCACACATATCACATTTTTTGGATGTATACCAACGTTTAACTTCTAAAGTTTTTCGATCTAAATGCATTACTCGATGATTACGTAGTTGACTTGCTTGTTTAAAACATCTACCACACTCTGAACATTCATATTCCCGAGTTTCACTATGAACCTTCATATGAGTCAACAATTTCACCATTGTAGCGCTTTTGTATGCCTTACATATATTACATGTAAAAAGACCTACGTCTAAAATTAAAATGTTTAAAATTTAATAACATATAAAACTAACAATAAATGATTCTTAATGTAATTTTTTTTTAATGATGAATTCTCACTGTAAACTAACCAATTCCATGTTTCTTCCACAAATGTAAACTACATTGTCTCCATTTAGTAAATTTTAAATCTCTACAAATATTGCATTTGAATGCAGACGCGCTTTGGGATTCTGTATGAAAAGCAATGTGTTGCTGCATTATCTCTTCTGTAGCAAACTTATATGGACATCCGCGATATGTACATCTAAGAAAAAAATAAAATAAAGGCATTGTCTTCAATATATGTGAATGTAAAAAAACATCCTTGTTTATATAATTTAGATATTAAAAATCTTACACATACCTTACATTTGTTTCAGCCAATTCAATAGTTTTTTTATTAAATGTGCGCTTAGAATTTAAAGATTTATTATTTTTTGTTTGTTGTATTAATGGATTATTTTTGCAATTATTTCCTATCTCCTCAACATTAGTATATCTCAATTCATTAGTCGTATATTCCTTAACTGCTTTTTCAGGTGCTGTATTTATTAATTGATGATCCTGATAAAATAAATCTTTCAAATATCATACCAATTAAACATTTTAAGATATTATCTTTCAAATACTTACATTTATCATGTGTTCTTTACAATCTTCTAAAGATGGAAAACAATTAGAGCACTCTCCACACATATAAACTAATTTGACTTCATCAATGTTTGCAGACTCTTCTTTTTCCTATAAAAAGATGAGAAAAACCATAAAATAATAATAATATTCATTTATTTATTGTAATATCAAATATATTTGATAAATTAATTTTGATAAATCTAAATTGAGATTAATCGATGGTTCTCTCTCTTACCTCTACATCTACTGTCGGATTAATGTGTGTTTTTTCAAAATGCTCTATTAATTCTTCTCTATCTTGGGTTGTGTAAGTACATATCTTACACTTAAATGCTGTTACTACTTCTACAAAATCATTGGCATTTACATCATCCTTTTGCATAAGCAAATTTTTATCATTTTGTTCGCTAACTATTTCATAATGTTCCTGATTGTCATTGTCAACATTTTCTATTATTATAGCTCCATTGGTAATAAATTGTGTTTCTTCATTTTCTATATCTCTTGATAACAAAACTGTTTTGTCTGACAATTCAATCTGACCATCGACATGACTAAGATTAAGCTCTTGAACGTCTTCTTTTTGAAATGCATAAATTTGGCCATCTACAGAAATCAAAGAAATAGGTTCTTCCTCTTTGCCAAATGATGTTTCATCATTTATATTTGCTGTACCTTGTTCATCATTAGGAATTTCGTCACTCTTTATTATATCCGTTGAATTAGATACAGTTTGTATAATAAATCTATTACCATTTATCTCATAACTTAAATACAAGTTTTCAGCATTCATATTCTCATTCATAATGGAGATATAAATTAAATATTTAAAAGCATAACTTCATTTTAGCTATAATAAAAAAAAATAAGTAATATATATTAGATACCTATAAATAATGTATTAATGTATAATTAACATGTATAAAAATAATGAGATTATTAATGAAATTATTAATTAAAAACATATTTAAACATTAAAAAGATAAGAATCATATTTTTATCACATTGTAGGGAGTATATACCGAAAGATACATCATAAATTAAAGTGCATACAATGTCAGAATAAAAAATAAAATCTAACACAAATAAAGAGTACTTCAATTGATTGGAATGAGGTTATCTTATTAAGTAACAGTACGGTTTACTAGGCTTACAAACAAAAAATTTAATACAAAAGTCATATTTATTTTCTTTCAATAAACATAAATACATGATTTTGTTTTATCAGATTGAAACAAACCGGGAATGCGAATGTTCAAATTCGAAAAGCACATATCGTCAGTTAGTCCGCGCACTCTAAGCGTCTGCTTCGAGATTAACATTGTAATAAGAGTTATTAAATAACCTTAAATCTTAAAAATTATATTATAAAATAATTCACTTTGCTTACCGAAAATAATATTCAATATAAATAATATTCAAGATTAACGGAAAAAAGTACATAAACGTCAAATACGAGAACATTATCTATGAGTTTCCTGATAGCCCGCCATGTTACAATCACGTGACTTTACCTAACTTCCCAGGCAGAATTAAACTGACATGTTAGACTTAAATTTAATCTTTATTTTCATTTTTTGATCTATTTGCATCCTTAACGCATGTATGCACACATTCATATTGCCAGTGAATAGTGGTTAAGTCACTTATTGAAATATTATTGTATTTAGATCTCTAATAAAAAAAAAATTTGACAGCATGGGTACATTTTTTTGTCGCATGATGCAAACGAATTAATACAATTTTTATATTTTAAAGATCTAATATGAAAATAATAAATGAAAGTTATATTATTTTTATTGTAAAAACAAACAATTACTTTTTATTAAAGTACCATCATTGACAAGAACTCTTGTTTTTTTTTTATTACAAATTTTTATACTAATTATTATGTTATCAATTATATTAATTATTATTCAGAATGTCCTGCATCCTGTCTAACTCACAGTGAGAGATTGAATAGTGTAAATTCAACCTACTAACCTAATACTCTAATCTACACTAATGTGAGAAGGATATTAATCTTTATTAATCTTTTAATGTGATCTTATGTGAATTAAATTTTTTTTAACAAATACAAAAAAGTTGTGTATACCACATGATGTCCCTCTTGATATCATATAATCTTTATAGGAATAATTTTCTGTACAACGCATAATTTAGAAGTTATTCGAGGTGATTAAATTAGGCTCTTCACCCTACATATATGAAATTAATTACGAGGCGTTCTTTCTGCATTTTGTCTAGCTATTTCTGGGAAAAATTGCGAATTATATTTTTGTTTAACAGAAGGTTTAGGTATTTCTTCAGATTGGGCAGCAGGCAAAGGATCTCCACGCAACTTGGCAAACAATGCTTCCACTCTTAATTTCTCCTTTCGCTCTCTTAATAATCTTTCCGCTCTTAATTTTTCTAAGTTTGTTGAAGTTTTAGATTTTTCTAAAGATTCATTGGAAATATCACTTTTTTCTTTCTTTTGTTTTTTATATTTCTTATGTTTTTTATTTTTCTTTCCAGAATGCCTTTTCTCCATATCACTATCTGAATCGTCTGAATCATGATGCCGCTTTTTAATACTAGTTTTTTCAGTCTTTACATGTTTTTCTGAATGAACACTACCCATTATGTTTAAGTACTTCTTTATATCTTGTATAGGGTCGTGCAAAACCTTTTTTGTTATTTCTACTTCGATATCCTTATCTTTATCGTTTAATCTTTTAGGCAATTCTTCGTACCAGTTTTTTCTTTTTAATGCTTCATTTGTATCTTGTCCAAGATATGTAAGATAGCCAATTTGTTTTTCATATTTTTCTTTTTCCTCTTTCTTCTCCTTCTCGTGTTCTGTATTAGGTTTATTATAATCTATTTTACCTTTCTCAAGATCGGAAAAGAAATTAACATGTTCTAATGCTTCAGTAGATACTTCTGCTTTAATGTTCGATGTATCAGCTCGTCCATCATATTTAGTTCTTGCTTGTTGTCTTAAAAAATCAATACGTGCTTCAGTTTCCTAAAAAAGATAATAATATGACAAATATGACATATACGATAAACAAATTTGCTTATATCATAATATAAGATTTGTTTCAAATCTGAAAAGTTAAGTATTAATTAAGTGCTTTGATAATAAAATTTAAAATAATTCTAAAAATAAAGTTAATCGCTTTGGCCTGTTAATGACTCATCTAGACTTTTATTGTACTTACAGCTTTTTGTATACGTTCTTTTTTAACTCGTTCTTCTTCAGCAGCTTTTGCTTCATCTCGTCTTACACGAGCTATATTTTCTTTTGTCCGAACATGCCATCTGAAATGGAAATACAACTTCTAATATTGTTGGCAAAATATATAGAATTTTTGAAAATGTTCTTTTCACTTTAAAAAAAAACAAAATAGAAAGAATCTTACCTTTTTTTAGGTAAAATATTCATTTTTTTTAAGAACTTGTTTCTTCCAAGAAATAAATAAACACTATTTAATTCTATAAAATAGTATTATACAAATACTTCAAATAGTAATGGTTATTATTTTACACTAATTAATAATTAAGTAATAACCAATGTCATTTTTTTAGGCTATATTGTTTAAATTGTCACAGAACATCTTACAAACGTATAAACAGAAATAATATAAATTGTTGTTATATTAATACACTTTATTGATAAATAAAAATTAAGAGATATCTATGAGATACTTTCTGCTTATTCTAAAATTAGCAAAACGAAAATTCTTTTTTTTCTGTTGGTAACATTGCTTACAGTGTCGATAATAGCGTGATTAAAGCGTGTAGTTTCTACTGTGAAATTAAAATTTTTCTTTTATATTATTCTTTCCAAGGTTCGTCTATATATATTTAATATAAATATAAAGTTCTACTAAAATTATAAGTTTTTAAATTTTATATTTATTAGTAAAATATAACCTACACGTGTTTATGTATATAGAAATATAACCTAACATTGCCTAAATGAGAACAAGAAACAGACATTCGATTAAATCAAACTAAATTGAGTCAAACATTAATTAATATAATATTTTTTCTTATTTAGGAAATATTCAGTAATCACCATGGCTGCAACAATGCCAATAAATCCAAAACCATTTTTAAATGGTCTAACTGGAAAACCTGTAATGGTAAAACTAAAGTGGGGTCATGAATATAAAGGATATCTTGTATCAGTAGATGGTTATATGAATTTACAACTTGCAAATACAGAGGAACACATAGAAGGAACCTGTACTGGTAATCTTGGAGAAGTACTGATACGATGTAATAATGTCATGTATATACGTGGTGTAGAAGAGGAAGACGAGGAAGGAGAAATGAAAGATTAAATTGATGCGTATAAGACTTCTGTATTTTTAATTACTTATTTAAGTTATCGATAAATAAATCTAAGTTTGTACAACTTTATGGAACAACATCAATTATAATGACTTAATAGACTATGTGAAAACTATCTTTATAAACTATGTAAATACATGATAATTTAATACCATTAATATTTCTTTTACGCATGATAATTTTCAAAATATTTCTTTATACTTCTATATTATTTATAATAGGCTTAGGTCGAAATTTAAAAACAATTTTCTTATTTACTATTGCTTGAATGGTATATTCGGTCTTGCAATCTTCTTCCCCTAATTGATTGGTCGAAGACACTGATTTTTTTTTTAAAACTGCAATAGGCTTTGTAAGAGCCATCTCTTTTCCATGCATTACATGAATACCAATTATAAGCATTGGTATTCCAGATTTAGTAAAATGAAAATCACCTATATAATGACTGTTTGTTATGTCTTTTGTACCGAATGATAATTCACCTTTCAATTCTACGATAGCCCATTCTTGTACATCTTGATCACTGAAAGAACATAAAACTTGTCACTTTTTAATTGCATTCTTATAGTTATAGATATATATATATATAAACACAAATATAATTGTTACCGTTTAATAGGTATTATCATTGTAATTAATTTCACGTTAGGTACACCAGATATATAAATATATGAAGTATGATATATATTATTTATTCACCTAACTTTGATTTTATTAATATAACGATACAACAAAATAAATTTATATATCTACCTTCGTCAAAAATTATTGCTTTGATTTCAGAGTTACAATGTTTTTATTCTGTATAAAATACTTTCTAGATGTCACTATATACATTTTCTCTATAGTTAGATAAAATGGCGTCCGGGCTGAGATTTTACAAGAAAATTAGTGAACTTCAAGAAGAAATCAATAAAAGAAGTGATATTGCTAAATTGTTTAAACGTGAACACTTTATAGCTGCACGTAAAATTCAGGTTGTCGAATAGAAAATATAACTATATATTTGTATTTAAGGTTGTCACAAAAATCGTTTTAAATATTAATTTTTAGATTTTTTTTTATAATATAAATAATTGTTATATAAAATAAATCATAAAATAAATTTTTATATAAATTTTTAAACAAATTTTTTTACGTAAACCACTGTCATAATTACTGGCATATTTTATCATGTAACAGGCATGGTTTCGTGGCATTATAACAAGAAAACATTTATTTATACTTCATAAAGAAGCAATAATTATTCAGTCTAATTGGCGTGGTTACTATGTAAGAAATAATTTAAACACAATTTTAATTAATAAAGCACATCAAATGTGGGAAGATTATTATAACTGTATGGCAATAAGAATCCAAGCAATATGGCGTGGTTATTGGATTAGGAAAACTACTTTAAATTTGCAAGAAAGATGGAGATGGTTAAATAATATATATGCAAAGAATGAAGAGATCGTAGAAATCATGCAAAAGTTTGTAACAATATTTTTATAAATCATATTAGCATTTAATTCATTATTCTATTCACAGATTCAAAGAAAGCGAGATTAATTATTGCAGAGATATTGTAGAACATGAATCATTATTATGGATTTTATTTATACTTTTTAAGGTATTATTTAATATTAGAGAGAGATTCAATATTGTTAAATAATAATTTATTATTTTAATAATATTTATGTGTGTGTGTTACGATACAATTATCAATGATTTTTATTTCGAGTATTACGTATTTAGTCACATCATTTGCTGAGAACAAAAATTAGACCAGGTGTAATAACACACATTGATCAAAATAATTTAACTTTAATCGAAAAGATGTTAAAATGCCTAAAATATCAATTTTACAAACCAAAAAAGGTAAACGTTTGTGAACATTGCAAGTTTGAAAAGAAATTTTCATCAATTCTATGCGGTATTTCACTTCGAAGATGTGAACAAGAAATGAGAAATTTTGAGTTCAAATTAAAAACTGGAAATATACCAATATACAGAAGTATACTTATATAGAAAAATTAAAACAGTTTACTTAAATATTTATATAAATTCACTTACAATTATTTTCCATAGATCATTCATATGCCGAAGAGGAAAATTTGAGAAATGTAGTACAAAGTCCAGGGCATGAACTTTTACAAACATTTAAAAAAGAAAAATATAGAAAGTAAATAACAGTTTAGTAAATTAATAATCGTAGCAAGTAATACTGTTTAATAAATTATTTTATTTCTTATCTCTTTATCGTTTCATTAATAACTTCAGACAAGTAAGGAAATAATAGATAAGCAATTGTTTAAATTGATATGAACTTACAAAATAAACTATTTATGAATTATATATGTAATATGAAAACAACCAATGAAAAGTACAGATAACTAGACGTAACTATTTATATCATGTTCTTGTTAAATGAGCTCAGGAATCTTGAATTTTTTTTCAATGATTAACAATCATTAATAATATATTATATTTTTATGAATTTTGATATTGTAAAGCTTACAAATAACAAAATGATTTTGATAATAATTTTATTATTATTACTGTCTCAAGTATCAAGTTTTGGCAAACGTCGTGTCCATAAATCAAAGAATGATGAAGACACTTGTGAAAAAACAGTATTACACGAACTTTTTATAAATTCTAATGCAACATTTATAGACCCTTATTGCAAGTGTGATTCAGTAGTAGGAATAGTACAAAAAATCCCATATATTCAAGAATCTCCTGAAAATAGTTTAACAGTTCATTTCTCTTCTGCTTGTGTGAAATGTGGAATGTGTCTTGCTATAGCAAATCAAGTTAGGACAAATACGCATTTTATAATTTTTATCTAATGTATATAGAATTTGTCAATAATCATGAATATATTATTGACATATTGTTATCCGATTTTTTAGATAAATGATACATTATTAGAAATGCATGAATCTATGGATACTTGGTTAAATGATACAGAAGCTATTATTCTTTTGAGGAATATTTGTAATTTTGCTTTCAAACAGTACGTATAATTAGAAGAGAAATACATATTCGACCAATCTTATAATTATTTTTATATTTTTTCTAATACTTTAAAATATAGGATATTTCATAATATGTGGGATCATTGGAACACAAATGTGGCTATAATTTTGCAACAAAGTCAAATATTTATATACATTTTTTTCATTGTTTTTGTATCCTGTCCACTTTTCGGAAGTGGGTTCTACATTTTACGAAACATCCTGCATATATATTTTATATGTATATACTGTATGAATATATATTGTATATATAGCTATAGTTTGCGAGAAATTAATGGAAAAAGATTTATTTGTGATTATGTTCCTGGCTCTACATTAGTAACATCTTCGGGAGATGGTTTATGGGAAACACAGTAAATATTTTTGTCAATATAAATATAAGTTTTGTATCTGTGGTATGCGCACATTTATATATGTATAATAATTCTGATTAAATAATTTTTAGTTTAAGAGATAATTGTAATGAATATTTGAATGAGATAAACCCATTAGAATTGTATCAATATTGGCAGCAGTGGTGTCAAGATGATCATCAAAATCCTAATTTGGTTACAATACTTTGCAGGTTTTTATAGAATTAATTTAATTAAAATTAAAATATTATTGATATAATATTTATAATATGATTATAGAAACGAAGCAGGAAAATTACGTGATTGTAGAAGTATGGATGAAATGATTAAATTTGAATTACCTTCGAAAAACTATCAGGCAAATGTTAAACTTAAAGTAGAATTCGGATGTTAAAATACAGATTCAAGTATGCTATTTTTCTATGGGTATATTAATTTTTATTTATTCAATTTATATACATACATGTATTTACTCGTATACTTGTTTTTATATGTAAATTGTGTAAGTATATTATTAAATTATATCATTTGGATGTAGAAAAGTACTTTAATAATTATTTTTGTATTTTTTCTACATTTTTCTAACATATGTAAATTATTTATATCTCATATATTGCTTCATACTATTTATTTTTGACTTATAACATTTTTTTCTATTTCAACCATTTAGAAAATAAATTCGTTTTAATTGCATAGAGAGAACATCCTATATATATATTTGTCTATAAATTAAATTGAAGAAAACAATGATGCGTGTAAACTTCGTTGTAAAGTCAGTAGATGTCACATGTATCGCTGATCTAGGAATATTTTTATCAACCCGTCTAACCAAAATTAATTTTATGGAATACGCTTTCATTCTTGGCTGTGTATTAGACAATTCATAATTTATAAACGAAAATAGTGTTTAGTCGAAATATTATTTACAGTTTATAGAATTCTGAAAAGTGAAAATAGAATTTAATTGTGTATAATTCAATTTGATAACTGGTCGAGAAAATGGGTAAACACGAAGTGGGAACACCAAAATATATTGCAAATAAAATTAAAGCTAAGGGTTTACAAAAATTACGATGGTATTGCCAAATGTGTCAGAAACAATGCCGAGATGAAAATGGATTTAAATGTCATACATTATCGGAATCACATCATCGGCAACTGTTACTTTTTGCTGATAATGCTAGTCGTTACATGGATCAATTTTCACGTGAATTTTCTGAAGGATATTTGAATTTGTTGAAAAGACAATTTGGTACTAGACGAGTTCCAGCAAATCGAGTTTATCAAGAATATATTTCAGATAGAGGTCATGTGCACATGAATGCAACTATGTGGCTCACGTTGACAGGATTTGTTAAGTGGTTGGGTCGAACAGGCAAATGTGTTGTTGATGAAACTGAAAAAGGTTGGTATATAACTTATATTGATAGAGATCCAGAAACATTAGCTGCTCAAGAAAAGAAAGCTAAAAAACAGAAAATGGATAGAGATGATCAAGAAAAATTAATGGATTTTATAGAAAAACAAATAGAAAAGGGTCAATTAGAAAGACCAATTAAGGAAGAAACAGAAGAAACAACTAAAGAATTTTTACGACCAAATGATAATGCACCTTTAGTTTTAGATATAAAATTAAAAGCGAAACCTAAAGTTCCTCTAATTAATCCATCTACATCAAAGCAAAATGAGATTTCTACTGAATGTAATTTTTTTAAAGGAAATGAAGAAACGCAAAATATCAAGGTAGAATTAAAGAAAAATAATAGTGATTGTAATTTAGAAAAACTCATTAAAAGCGAAGTAGGTTGGCTCAGGGAAAAATTGGTAGTTAAAGTAATTACCAAAAGTCTAGGTGATAAATATTACAAAGCTAAAGGTTTTGTTAAATCAATAGAAAATTCTGGATTTGTTGGCAAAGTAAAACTTATTACACCGGAAGAAGTTGAAGGACATGTAATAAAATTAGATCAAGAATATTTAGAAACAGTAATACCTGCTATTGGTAAAGAAGTTTTAATACTTTATGGAAAGTACAAAGGAGAAAAAGGAATAGTGAAAAAGTTACACATAGAAGAATATACTATAGATGTTCAATTAGAAGGAAAACTCGTTAGAACGCTTCCATATGAACAAGTATGTAAATATATGGAATGATCGTCTACTAAATTAAAAATTAAAGTGCTTCTTCATTGAAAAAATATTGCCATTGTTGACTTGTTTGGAGATAAATGGATATACACATTACAACGACTTATATTTTCTGTATATATTCAATCAATTTTTGTACATTTATACAGATGTTTCATATTTGTGAAATCTAATACGCTTATTTGTCTTTCCTCTTAAACCAATTGTTTAACAGGAAAGAACTTTGCTACTAATTTAATTAATTATAAATTTAAATAAATAATTGTATATAGTATTTTAAAGTATACACATATATGAAATAATTTATCAATTTTATTGTACGATATTGAAATCATAGATTAATAAATCATAATTCTGTATTATTTTTTTACCAATACAACAGTGATAACAATAAATACTATTGTCAATATGTTTTATATTTTTGCAACAAAAACTAGTCTTAAATAGTATGAATATTATCTGTATGATTTGTAATTAGTGGCGCCAGAATATGAACGCATGCGCTTTATATTATATTATTGCACGGTAAATTTATATGCATTTCTTTTATAATGTATCGAGAAAGACGTAGAAAAGAATCTAATAATCGATAATTTACATGAAACAAATATAATGTTTTAAAAAAAAAAAGATATTTTGAAAGATTAACGAATAAGTAGAATGTAAATGAATTCCTCTAAAATTAATTATCGGATAAAGTTAATTGTGTTGTTCTATCGATTTTAAACATGGACATATGTCAAAAACATAATACATTAACAAAAAATCTGTTTTCAAAGGGCATACAAAAATAAGAGTAGCTACGAGCATTAATTGTTCGCATTTATTTTATTTTCATTTTCATATTTTTCAACTATGAAATCTAATTTAATCCCTTAAATCATATAAGCTTATATTAGATATATTTTTATGTAGCTTTTTTGTAAAATGCTAAATATGAAAAAGAATATTATAAAGATAATTTATAAACAATTATTACAATTAAAAGCATAACCATCGCTTTGAGTGCGCATGCTTGCGAAGTACCTTATTATTGGTCAAATATAGTTTCGTGTGCCGAAGATAGAGGGCAGGTATGTATATAGCTACATTATACGTGTATTGGTTAAATAAAGAAGATGAATCCTGCGTTAGTTAAAGTGAGACAGAACTAGAGGATAGCACCAACACAGTTTTAAACGCGTTGCTCGACTGTCCGGTCTCTTCCAGCTATTCAGTAAAGTAAAGTTCGTGCTGGAGGGTGTTCGTTTCGTAAGACGTATTCTCTCACTCTCTCCCTCTCGCTAGAGAAGAAGAGACCAATATAAACCGCCACTTCGAAGGAAGGAAATAGAATTGAATTAAGTAAAGAGAATATTCATCGATTTAAATAAACGTGCATGCATAAGAATCGTTGTGTTCGTCCCATCGAATAACGAGCCGACGAATCATGGCATCGTCAAAGAACGACAATGCAGAAAGCGTGCAATTCTTCGAAGGCGTAGAGAAGCTACTCGAGATATGGTTCACCAGTAATAACGCTAAAAAGAAACAACTCGGTGATCTTCGACAAATTCCTCGGTAAGTCGGCATTCGTTTACTTTTCGTCCTTGCTACGCCCCTTTTTTCTCATTTTCCTCTTTTTTCTTTTTTAAAATTTCATCACACATATTCTTCCCCCTCCTTCCCCCTTATTGTCTTTTTTATTTTATCATCACATCCATTATTTCGTTCAAGTACCTATATACCCGTATTTAATAGTTACATCTCTCCGATCAGCAATTAGACAACGACTCTATTTGCTTTTCCTCAACAAACCGTTCGTTCAAATGAAAATTACTTGATGATTACTTTGCGATTTTTTGTTTATTTTTTATTATTATACTTTCGAGGACAAATCGATGACAGAAAGTACGATCCTGAAATAAGCATCAGTAATAGAAAAGGGTTGCAATTTTTGTTCGAATAGAAACGTACGTTTGTTCATGGGTTAGAACTAAAGTATTTAATTGTTTCATTATCGTTTCTATACGAGTACAATAACGGACAACGACGATTACGACCAACCGGCTTCTCATAAGTAGCGATGATCGCGAGTTGAACACGACCGGCATTTCGTGATATTGGTCGCAGTTTATCGCACTTTAATCTGACGAGCTACAAAACCACAAGATCGTTCGATGCTCTTTTTGAAGTCTATTCGTTACGTTCGTTTTAAGATTAACGCACGCATTTACTCGTCATGATAGCAATACTGCATTTAAAGTATCTTTGATCCATTGCATCTCTCTCTCTCTCTCTCTTTCTCTTTCTCTATTTATTCGTATTTATTTTTGTTGACATGTAATTTTATAAGGAAAGTAACGAACGATTAAAACCCAACTTTGTTTTCTTTTATTCCTCTGAAATAATTAATAATATAAACGTATATAAACATATTGTTTTTTCTTGTAATAGATCATGATCAAACATTTCTCTTTTGAAGCGTACAACATCGCGAAAATGATGACCCGTGCTCACATTATTCTCTCTCTTTCTCTCTCTCACACACACACACATACACATTCTTTCTCTCTTCCCGTGTCTCATGTACGCCGTACTTTTCGGAAAAGATCGATGCGGCCACTTTCTCGTCGTTCTAGTAATACCCGACCCTGGAAAAATTCATTGTATAAACTTACAATCATTTACTGAAGGAATCCTATTTAAGAACCCAGATAGAATGTATTTTCACTTTCAAGTATGACGGTCAGTATTCAATATTTTCAAATACAATGGTCGTTCGTATCGACCGTGAAGAAAGACATTACATTGGGTCACTCCAAGAATTTCTTTATTCCTTTGACTACATTTTACACACAATTCAGTAAAATAACATAATAGAAAAGGGAGAAACCCTTAGGGATAATTTATCACAAAAGTTTAGTTATTTAACAATGGGAGCTTTATTTAGGAATTTCGGATAAAAGATATTTTCACTTTTAGGAATAATGGGAGTTTTACTTAGGAATTTCGGGTAAAAGATTATTTCACTTTTAGGTATAATAGGTTTTTATTATTTTTTCTAGGTACGAAGGTCAAATGTCTTATTATTTTTAAATACAATGGTCAAAAATGTGGACTTTGTATTAGTCATTGGGTGAAATTTTATTGATATATATCTTGAAAGAAAATTGAAATTTTATTAGCCGACCAATGGATTGTCGGTCACGTTGCCGGTTTAAAATGTCGGTCTTTGTTTCGATAAATCTAACTTCGATTCGATACGATTATCATTATTATAATCGTCAATCTTTTGCATTCCTCATCGATTTATACAATTTTTTCGTACCTTACTTATACGACTCTTACTTTGGTTGGATTTGTTTTTCTCTTTTTATGCCGAAGGATTTCGGATGACATTACATAATGAAAACATAAGTCGCCGGTTGAGTGCGTCGTCGTGTAGTGGCTTGTATTTAAGTTGGCGTCGTTAAAGTAAGATCTTATTCGATTCTGGGAAGACGAATGCGACATATAGAAGAATAGAACTCGTTTTTGCTGTTATATGTATGTATATGTGTGTGTGTATATATATGTTAATGTATATGTGGGCGCGTGTTTTCTGAGAAACCGTTTTGTGCTAATTCGAAGCTCGTCGTCTTTTTATTTCTTCAGTTAAAAACAAGACGAACACACAACACGTGTACATAAATAGTAAACTGATTGGTGAGATTAGATCGAAATCGTTATTGATTTATGTTTTTCTATTTTTCAATATCTTTGTTTATGCATATTTACGTGGGTAATTAATGTTGGCTTAATTTTTTAGGTCTTTATGTTATTTTATTGTATGTCAATACAATTGTCTTCTAAATAAATCGTTATTGATTTTTGAACGTAACAAATATTTTATACCTTAATAGAAAAATTGTCATTTATTCAAGGATCTTAACGTGCATCGGTGAAACTACATAGAATCGTCTTAGCTTATTAATAAACGTATATAATTATGCTTGTTTAAATTTATTATTTCCTGTTTAAATCCGCAGAATCAACGACCACCTCTTCGAGAGTAATAATTAAATTTTCAAATTAAATTCACGTGTTTTTTCATTACGAAATTTGCGAATAATATCTAACTTCACATATCTTATTTTGGATTCTAACAGATCTTACCATTTATATATATATATGTATGTATTATCGTTTCAACGAGAGCTCTTCGATAAGTGTGCACATATTACAAGCACACGTGCATCTCTTTTATTTCTTCAATGTGTTTTTATCATATCGTATTAGTGTTATACAATTTTAAATGGTAAATCTGAATCGCATCATTCCGTTTCATTTCATTCGTATATTATTATTTATTGATAACGGTCATTTTTGATTGTCTATCAATTATTCTTACACAGGAACAATAAAACAAATCGTTTTTAATTTATATAAATAAGTTGTATTCAATATAATGTTGTTATTTAAAAAGTTTCACCTCAGTCTCGATTAATCGTTAAACCTTGAGATGCATCCGTATTATTTATTTCCCAATCTCGTTGGTTAATTAATAATAATATTTTTTTAATTGATATTATGTTACTAATCGTAAACAGTATACCGTATAGAAAAATATAATCTAGCAGAATGGATCGTATATATTTAAATAATATAACATTACAAAAAATAAAATCGTGCGTGTAAAACTTACTGATAAAAAGTAAGAAACTTTTTTAGAATCTAATACAAACGTTTGAATATTTAATAACGGATCTTACTTAACCCAGATATTAATACATTTTCATTTTCAGGTAAAATAGTAGTTACTTATTATTTTTAAACACGAAAGTCCATATTTTAGTATTTTCACTTCATTTATATAATATCTATAAATCGGCACGAATTATTTGACCAACCAAATATATTGTGTATATTCGTGATAGAAAATGTCAATATTCCAGGGGGAAAAGAGGAAAGATAGATAGATAGATAATAAATAACGTATTTTCATCCTGTTCTTACCCTTTTAACTTGCATCGATCGCAAAACATAGAACAGCAGCGCCCCGTTGCCTTTTTCCCGTTCTTCGTTCCAGTTCGACCTTTTAGCAAGATAGATTTTGTTTGTTGGCCATGGTTTGTCCTCGTGAAACGAAGTACTTATTTATATTGTGTTGTCTAGTATTAATCAAGTTAAGAAAGATATTACGTGATGTTAGTATCACACACACAATGTTCATGCTATCACAATCCGTGTATACGCAAGTATATGTCAACTTTAATATGATTGCTATATCACTTTGATAAATTTGACAAAACCTTTTTTTCAAATCTTTCATTTGAATAGATCGATACTTGGTTTATACAGAAAAGTGTTATTAGATTTGCCAAATAAATGATGTTGGAAATTATACAAATTTATATTTGTATAATAACAATATTTTTTATTGAAAAAAGAAAAAAATTCTATGTATTTTTTGTTTAAATAAATAACACTACATGTGTATTTGATTTCTCGTTTTTATTATTTTATATACGAATAAAAAAATACTATTTTATTTTCTTCTTCTTCATTTTATTAGGACTTTGTCCTGTTATAATAGCTTTTTTTTTTTTTTTTCTTTTATTGCTATTTCTAGGAGCGATTTATTTTTAATAAACTCTCTCTCATTATTTTATTTTATTAATAGTAATAATTCCGACATTACTTATTGACCAATTTAATATTCAAATTTTATACTGGATAATTTAAAAAATAAAGTTTTATTTACTTGCAGTACACGGCTTGTATTTAGTCATATTGAGTTTTTTTGTCCTTTGCCCTGTTGAATTTTGTTGAGCTTTATCTTGCTGACCGTTATCGAATCTTATCTGACTCTTGTAAATATTTCCAAAAATTTTATTTAGATTCCCATGAGATATTCGACACGTTCGAAACCTATAAAAAAAGAAATAAAATTGTAAATTCTTGAAAAATGATTAAAAAGCAAAAAAAATCGTTCTAGAAATCGTCCATTTCTTCTACAGACTTATAGAAATATGTGTATTGTCTGCAACAATAATTTTATTTAATACTTTATATATAACAAATAAATGTGAAATATTTCAGAAGCATTCACAGAGCATATCAAAACAATGTAAAAAGAAAAGATTTCTCTAAACATATGTCCTATTCGTGCTTATAGTGAACTTTTTTGTCACAATAATTCATTCGTTAGATGGATGGTGGAGGAGTGTTGTCTCTTCGTGAAAGAAAAATTGAATAAATTTTATGGCGCACATCCGAGCAACATCTGGACATATTGAAGAGAATAAGACGGTGTCATTAGGGTAAAACATTCATTTACAGTCCTTTTTTATTCAGATGCAAGGAGGCCATTTCTTATGAAAACAAGAACAAATAGTATTTGTTGAAAAAGAAATATGATTATAACTCTAAAACAAAATCAAATAGGACATAGGTTTATTTTATGATCTTTTTTTTTTTTTAAATATTAATTGACGGAAAGCAATTGTAAAATACTTCCCACTTATTCTTGGACACCCTATATATATTTTGCAAGGAGATACACATACACACACAAAGTGGTATATCATATATATATATATATATATGTAACACTTCCGTCTTATCAAATTGTTTCACTTAACTCTTCTTCTCGTGTCACGTAATATCATTGTTGAATCTTGCAAATTTAAATGGAGAGAAAAAAAAAGTATAATGTATTTTATTTTATATGTTATTTATTTTCGAAATATTCTTATTGTTAGTTATTACTTTAATATAAATTCGATTGAAAAGTTCTTTTTTTATAAAAGTATTCAACGTCTATGTAAAAGAGCAAGCGGCGTGTTAACGTAAGAGCGTTAATCGATTATAAAGAATAAAATAAAACACCTCTTAAACGTTCTCTCGAGACCATTGGAAAAACTCTCGAGGATATTCCCTTCTATTTATATTATAAATATGTTTAAAAAACCTCGGAAGCTTATTACACGCTCGATGAACGGTTTGATACACGTTTATGTTGTTTTTCATATCGTATCACAAATTTCAGAGTTTCGTAAACAAAAATAAGAAGACAAATTTTGTCTCCTCGTATATGCACAAATGCATCATTTTTAAGCTAAATCAAAATAGTTAATTATTAATTCAGTCGTTATCCCATCATTGAACGATAGTTTAAAAATATATCCCAAGTTTTTTTTTTTTATATATATATATATACATTTATTTATAGTTACTTTTTATAGTAACTTTTATTGAAAAAAGACGATAATCAAATGTTATAAGCGGTGTGGTGGTAATTATTGGTTAGCCTTGAAAAAATAAAGGAAAAATTCGTAAAATTTACTATCGATTATTTCTCTTTCAATTTTCAACACAAAATCCTTCATTTTATTTTATTTTATTTTATCTTTTTATTATTATATATGTTTTTCCTCTTTAAAAATATACTAACGGATACAATAGCTATACTTGACAATAAAATATCTTAAAGATTTATTTCATTTCATAATCGTGATAACAAATCGTGGGATCATCAATCTTCAAAAGGAAGATTCACAGTAGTTAAACATTACTCGACTTTTAATGAATGGAATTTTATCAAGATTCATCGTATTTCTTTTATCCTATTATAGTATTATATAATCCGATAATAACATATTAATGAGTCATTTGTATATCAATGACACGTGAAAGGCTTGAAGGAGACTTCAAGTTCAAAGAGAGAAAAAGAGAAAGAGAGAGAAGTGCAACTGTGATATGCATCGTTATGATGCATCATCGATTTGCATGCTGATTATTTCTTCCTTATATAAAAAAGAAAAAGTGGAATTGTGATTATATTTGTAATAATATTAATGGTTTTGGTGTCGTTCATTTTTATTAATCTCCTCGAAAATATTTTTTATTTCCTTGTTTTTAAAATAATTTCCTCTTAAAAATATTATACGATTAGAGCAAGTGTAAGAAACAGAGAGAGAAACAGAAAAAATTCATGTATATAAAAATAATTAACATTAATAGCGAAATTTTTCTTAAAAATTGATGAAATACTTTCAAAAGTTTGTATTTGATGGGAAAAGAGAAAAACACAATGATCAAAATCAACTGATATTTTATACGAGTGTACATAAGCAGTTATCCCATAACAAATAGTTGATAAAGACGATAAGAGTTCACTAAACAAATTTTACAAACCCCCAAGAAAACTTTTTTAGATCTCACACGCATTTAAGGAGAATTTTAGACGAGTGTGCAGCATCTGGATTTTTAGTTGGTTTTGAAATAAGAATCATTTCGTTGTATTCTATAATTTTTTTCGTTAATAACAATAATAAAAGTTGGTTTTGTTTCGTTAATTATTACAAACTATTGCTGTTGTGCAATAACCCACTGCATGCATTATTGCACTGACTGTTCATCCTTTTTTACCATTACAAATTTATTTTACTACATAACATTATTTTTCTTTTTTTTTTTTTTCTTTTTCTTTTTTCTTATATTAATGATTTTATTTAACCGATACTCAAATTGTTGTATGATATTTTACAAAATAACATACATTAAAAATTCCTACCTTGTCGTAGAAATGAATTAAAAACATCTTGCCGACGTAAAATTAAAAATATTTTTATTTTTAGGCAAAAATGGGAATCACTGCTGAAGATCGTTCGATGCGAAATTATCAGCTTTTGCCGAAATGATCAAATAGATGCTTATGTGCTCAGGTAATTATAATTTTATATTGATAACATTAAAAATGATGCACGTATAAATTAATTAGGGAAAATAATTGTGTGTAATCGTTCGTGTGTTTTTTTCATTTTTATTAGAAATTATTTATTCGAATAAGAATAAAAGATAAAATAAAAAAAGATTCGTTCGCATGACGCGAGATGAGATTTTCTGTAGAATAGACATTTTGTATTATTAATAATGATTAATTATTATTTAGTTTATCTTTTATAAATCAAATAAATATATATACATCCTTACGTTATCTTTTATTATTATTATTATTATACGTATATTTATAATCTCTCTTATCGAATTGTGTGTTGCAAAATTATCCATTCCGGTTCTGTTAGATCTTTAAGTTGCTAGAAAGATAACTAAATTTTTGAAATTTTTTGATGTGACTGTGAGAAAAAAAAAAAAATCTAATATCAAGCTGAATTTAAAACCTAAGATAACTCGAATTTCAGTTAAGTATTTGTGAATAGTTTACTCTTGCACATTCCATTAACGGTTTTATAATCCTTACCACTAGAAATGATAATCTAATCAGTGTTTCTATTTCATTTCAAATTGCAAAGGAGCTTGTAAATAATACAATTGAGATATATTCGAGTAAAACATTATTTATTTAAGATGTGATACACGTGATAAATTCTAATATTTATCTTTTATCTGTCTCCTTTCTGGTATTTAAACTGTAGTACGTATACATACACCTATGTACATTTTTTCGCGTTACAAATTTGGTGCTTTTTAATCTTCTATAGCCTCGTGCGACTGAAATCTTTTTTTTTTTTTTTTAATTTAATTTTCTTTCTCCAATATAAAAGTACACATCTTGTTCCGTATAATTCCTTCAGAATAATCAATAAAATTTTATCTAACGATTATTAACTCTAGCAGGAGGTACTGATTATTGAATAACTGGATTAGAAAATTCTATTTACATATTATTCAAATTTATGATCTTACATTTGAATAAATTTTTGTGATTGACCTTAATTATAATATACTATACTTTAAATAACGAAATTAAATATTTATCTATAATTATTCATCTATTTATCGATCATAAATAAAATCATACATAATTATATTTTCGATTAAATTAATAATGTAAGAAATAATATGGATTTAACTAATAACAAAGCAATTATTTTAATAGCACAATGTAAATGGCTATTACAGCGAGGTTGTATATTCATTAGGCATTAATGTTAATAACAAGTATATAGATTTAGAAAATGACAAAATGCAATGCTTTGCAAATATACAATATGCTTTTATTGCTTTTAACGCCTTCAGTTTTTTCCTAATAAACCAAAGTTTATATTTTATAATGATAGTAATAATAGTTAGTAGAAACGTAAGAGTACCCTCGTAGTCGAAGTAATTAATTTGCTGATATTTTATTGTAATGCCAAATGCTATATGTTTCTTTTCAAAAATCGATTTTTTTCTTTATTTTCGATACACATTTTCTTCTTTTTTTTTGTAAATATTTTTTTTTCCTATAAAAATTAAAAAGATAAGTTCCTAAATTAAATATTGGGACGATGTTTCCTAAGAAGCAAAGGTCGACCTGATAAACTTGCAAAGATAGCAAAACTTTTATCGATTTATATAGATTTATAAAGTCTCTATTAGTTTATTCAATAAAAGATATCTCTTGTAACAATTTTATCCCATAGAAGAAGAAATAACATTAAATCTTTTATCAATCTTAATAGTATAAAAGATATTTAATCAAGTATAACTCGTTACTTCGAGCATGTTGTCTCGATAAGGTTGACAATATTGCTACAGATTAGTGTTGTCTTTTAATTAGAGATACTAATTTACAATAGTATACGATAACAATGAAGAGAGTTATTAAACTTATATAAATGATAGGACGAAGAATATTCCTTTAATATTTGATCAAATTGTATTATTAATCTTTAATGACGTAATACTGAGACATAACTCAATGATTTATTTCTTCCTTATCGTATTTATTTTTAATAATATACATTTAGATAAAACATTATTATACTATTATTCATTAATCAATGTTATCGCATTCCGCTTATCGCTGAAAATCTTGGAGTCAACGGCTTCATTTGTAAAAGTGTGAATCACCGATAACCCTTTAAACGACGTTGTTTTTTATTTTTGTCTAAATGCTCATTATTTTTTGATAAATATATCATTTTCTTTGTAGAAAAATGATTCAAATAGAATGTCACAAAGTAGAATTTGTGAAATACCTGCTCATTATATTTATTGTTCATAACATATACGTACAAAGGTACCGAGCAAAAATATTGATGCAGCTAAATTTTCCTATAACATTCTCTATATAAATTTGTAAAAAGTATGATTTTTTTTTTTATTTGCTTTTTCCAATATCTCAAATCTAAAGTTTAAGTATCGTATTGGCAAAATTATAATATAGATATTTTAAATATAAACTAATACAAAATTCCGACATTAGAGAGTTATTGGTCAAGCTATTATATTGTTGTGTATATATATATTTTGTTTTGTTTTTTAAATCATATTTTTTATAAATTCATAGAGAATGCTATAGGAAAATTTCATCTGTGCCAATACTTTTTTTCGGCACTACAATTTTAAAACGTCAGTAGCAGTTTCGTATCTCGTAGGCCAGTAATTCCTTTTAGCGACTACGTTATTCAAATGCACAATAATTCGAAATACATTCGGAAAAAAGATATTTTATCATGAAATATCTTTATCCGTGGCTTGCTAAAAGCAGTTTAACTTAAATCTAAAAATATAACGGACCAGTGGACGCCAACTAAATATCTTTTAATAACTTTCATTCTTTGGTGACCTTCGTCATTCCCGCGTTTACAATTAGTATTTAAAAGGCGATGATAGTAATTCTTCTTTTAAGAAATATTTCGAGAAATAATTTCAACCGGTTGCGATAAATTATTATTTATCAGTTAACCCTTGATATATCCGTTTTACCATTCATCGAACTTTATTGATTACTTGGTAATTTCTTTTTTTTTTTTCCTTTATTTTCTTTTATTCCATTATAAAAATATTCGTTCCCGCGCGAAAATTCAAATCACGCTGTAACCCGCAATCTCTTTCTCGTGTTATGCAATTGGTATATTCACAAATTTTATATAGATTACGTACAGTGCAATGAATTGTATAGATGATCATAAAAGAAAAAGTACATTTATTTATTTTCTCATTTTATTAATTATTATATTAAGAATTCTCCATAATAGTAATTATAGTAATTAATCTACCGTTATCCATTGCATGTTATTATTATTATTATTATATTGTCGTTAATCTTGTTTATATGTATCATAACTTTGTTGCTTATTAATTATTCACATCATATCATCTTTTTTCTAAAAAAAAAAAATTTAATATGCATAAAAAAAGAAGATGGTTGTTTTATTAAAATGCATTGTGCATTATTGCTTTCTGCATCAATGTTCATTTTTATTATTATTACATGTGATTTTAATGCATCAAAAGATTTATATTTATTTAATTTTATTTTACTTATGTACAAGTAAGCAGATGAGATATTTAATATAATTTATAATATATTTAATTAAATAAATATATATATATATATCTAAAAGAAATGAAATTTAACATTTTTCAGTGAAAGTAGTATGTTCCTATCAAAGCGCAGACTTATCCTGAAGACATGTGGTACAACAACACCTTTACAATGTTTGGAGCCTCTCCTTAAACTTGTTGAACAATACACCGGTTTTGATGAAGTAGAGGTATGTTTTGATTTCTGCAAATGTCATTTATCTGTAAAAATGATTCTATAGATTTATTACATAGGTAGATTAAAAAATGATTGCGAAGGAACTTGTTATCTTTACTGATCCATATATACATTACTTTCTGATTGAAAATAAATATGTATAGTATACTATCATCAAAGAAATGCATAATTTTTTGCAAGAATGTAGAAGATGAAAGTACTTGACTATATAACTTGACCTAGTGCATAGTTAAGTGATGTGTCTATATATAGAAAACCTCTGACATACAAAATACATCTTCACCTCCTAGTTTATTGATCTCTCTAAGCCATGATATACTATGTGTAAAAATTAATTGACATTCCTATACTGTAACAGTTACTAATAATGCAAAAATTTTGAAAGAAATTGAATATACTATAGCATTTATATTCATTATGACTGCCACATTAGTTTTTTCCTATTTTTTGTCTGTTTCAGGACCTCTTTTATTCACGGAAAAATTATAAACGGCCAGAGTTACAAATTGCACCACATCAAGCATTTTCAGAAGAAGTTGCCTTACTCAATACTTTTTTTCCTGGTAATAAAATAAATACTTTAATCAATATATTATACATCTCTCTATAAGTGAGAGATTTAAAAAAGAAAAAGAAATATATAATTTATTATTTTAGATGGAGAAGCCTATTGTTTAGGATCTATCGACGCAGATAGTTGGTATTTATACACTCTAGACAGAGAAAAGTCCTTACAAGAACAAGCAGAACCAGATCAAACACTAGAGATTCTTATGACTCATTTAGATCCTGATATAATGGCCATTTTTACACAAGATGTGTGTTCTTCTGCTGCTGAAGCTACTCAAAAGTCAGGAATCGATAAACTCATTCCTAATATGACTATAGATGATTTTTTATTTGAACCCTGTGGTTATTCCATGAATGGCATTTCCAAAAATGTAAGGATCTAAATATAACATATTTCTCAACCTATTTAGCCTGCTTAACATTTTTTATGGAAAATTAATCTGTAAAAAATTTCGGAAGGATTATCATTAAATATGCTTGCAAAATTTAAGCCGCAGTTTAAACTAATTTGTTAATTTTCATGGTAAAAGGGTTGAGAAACGCTGATATAGATTATATATACTTTATTACATATATTTTATTACAATAATTGATTTGTTTTTTCTAGGGAAATTATATGACCATTCACATCACACCAGAACCAGAGTTTTCTTATGTTTCATTTGAAAGTAACATTCCTGAGGCTTCTTATGACGAGATAACACGGCGTGTAATTAACACATTTAACCCTGGAAAATGTGTAGTAACTATCTTTGCCAACAAGAAATCTATCGCTGCTAGTTATCCACGTAAATTGGAGCAGAATGGTTATTTGAATTCCGCTAAAAATTGGTCAGTTTCCAACGCACAGTATTATCGTTTCAAAAATTATGATTTGACCTGTGCATTTTATTCAAAATTCCCAAGCTGAGGGTTCATGGACGCTTCATTAGTCCCTGCAGTGACAGGCACAAATGAAGCGCAAACTCTTTCCTATATTCTTTCACCTATTAATTCTTCACCTGTATCACCACATTCTTTAAATAATTTGGAAACTAGTAATGAATCTATAAACTTAATACCAAAATTATCAAATTTCAACTCCAAAGGCATTGCTGTATCAGTTTCATATATGACAGAAAATAATGAAAGAAAGAATAGTGAGAGTACCATTAAAAATTGTGAGATTACTCAGAAAAATACCATATCCTCCTCCACATTTGCTTGTCACTCTATGCCAATTGGCAAAAAAAATCAGAAATCTCAAATGACATCTATCATGACAAATTCAGGTATGAGATCAGATGATAACCATTGTATCAATCTCAATAAGGCTAACAATGCTCAGTGTTTCCGTTCTGTCTCATCACCGCAGTTAACTTTTAAACCTCTAACACGTTCTAAGGTATATCGGAAAGCATCTTTAAAATCTTCCACAAATAAATCAAGTTTACAGTCTGATCTTTCTACATTTACAATAGACAACTTTAATGTTGTCTCTAATATACAATCAATGAATACCACTAACAACAGCAAATGTATCCTGTCGAAAGCAAATAAGTATAAAAAGACACCCGAAAAATGTCCTATCCAAGCTGAAACACGTAGTGAAAAGTTCAAGGAAAACGATAGCAGTATTGCAAATTCAAAAAACAAATGGAATATCAAAGATGTTCATATAACATGTAATCCATTATCAACACCATACCCATATTCAACGCCTTGTCAAAAGACAGCAAGTGGAACAGTAACAGAAACGCAAGACGAGGAACCAAAGAGTCGTAGTTGCGGAAGTTTCTTACCAATCCTCTCGTTAATTCCCCAAACAGTTATCGGCTTTCAGTATTTGAGCCCAAAAATGAAGTTCTCTTGGTGGCGTAATAAGATATCGTGAAGACACGCTTAAACGATCGTTTGGCGCGATGGCCGCTTAAAAAAAATAGCGCGGCAAGTACGGTTTGATGCCGATCGGTCGAAATAGCAGGACGACTACAAAAAGAAAACCTCTCTTACCTCGTAGCGAGTTCCCCAACTCTTCTTCTTCTTCATCATCAATCAGAGGAATCCTGTTAACGTTACACTCGCACGTCACCAAATCTATCGCCCTTAAACCGTTTAACATGATGATAAATAGGGTCATAGAGGAAAGCGCATGCAGAGTTTGAAATTAACGAGCATCATAAGATGTAGTTATTTAATCATGCTGTCAAGAAAGAAAGAAAAAATGAACAGAAAGAATGAATAAACAGAGAATGAGTATATGCGGAAATGAGTGTGACGTATGTATATGTACGCACGCGTGTTTGTGTGTATGTGAGAGAAAGAAAGATCATTCACAGTTCATATTTTCAGTTTTTCGCTGAGTAGAGTCTGTTGTATTATTTTGCATGATTGCGCTACATTATCTATGATGTTGAATCTTCTAGTCCAAGAAGTATTCTTTTCTTTTAGATTGCATCAACATATATAGCAGTGATTCGTTTTTTAATATTTTTTTTTTACCAATAAACCAATACAAACAACATTTTTTTCTTGTACAACACACTATTTGCAGCTTATTTCGTTTATGATTTATTTTAAAAATAAAGAAGACAGAGGTACATGATACCAGTACAAGATAGAAAAAGAAAGTGAGATTTGTTGCAATGATCTTCATGAAATTATTTTTCCCTGATGTCCTTTTCGTTGTTTTTATTAATCAAATAAGTACGAATAATACCGTAAGTAAATTTTTGGCATAATTTTTGCTTTTCTTTCTTTTACAAATATGTGTTGTAATCAATAGATCATCTTACGTATCACCCATTGTTCGTAATCAATTTTTTAATAAGAATATTACGATAGTTATATTTCTAAACAAATATGTCTCGAAGAGATAATATCCAAGGAAAACATCATATTAGCAAAGATAACAAAAAAATAAGCAGTATGATAGTGTACAAATTTAAGAATTACATCGATTATATCTCTAACGTGCTTTGTGACGATTCTGATATACCAGGAATGCTCGATTTGTGATACGTATAATAAGTGACGTGATTTATTTTATAAATTTTGTTACAATATATATTTTTGTAAATAGTTTTTAATATAAAATTTATTGATTAATTACAATTTTTGTAATTAATTTTTTTTAAATTTTAATAATTTAATTAAAAAAAAAAAGAGAATTAATTGATTAAGAAAAAAAAATGTGTATACATGCTTATACTTATTTAATTAAAAACAGATGTGTGTGAGCAACCATTGCTATATTGTCTTCGCAAAACTTGGTCATTCCTGGCATATATATTCTACTGATTTAAGAACTAAAACTAAATCAGTTATTAAATTTAGCTAGTTAAAAATAGTTCAAATTTTACGATAGTTATTCCTGCGTATATGATTATAATTCCTATGTCCGATTTACAGTATGTTCATACAACTGCGGAAAATGACTAATGAATCGTGATCTTTTATTTCGAAAAAATATATCGAATGCATGTATGAAAAACAAAAAAAAGGAAATGTAAAATCGTGATTTGCTTATTACTTTGATATAATTGCAAAATATTAGTACTCTACTTAGTAGAGTACAATATCAATTAGCGAGTTAATTTCCTTTTTACCTAATTCTTGTATAATATTTTTGCAGTTAGTGTAAATGTGCAAATACGAAAGAGATTTCTATCAAATTCGCTTTTTAAACTGTTTGTTTTATAAATTGTAATTAATAAAATAATTTATGAGTTTGTAATTTTATTGTATTTTTTATTTAAATGAAATATTAGCGTATATTTTTATGTATTTTTTCACAAGGAAGCTTTATAAAAATACCGTTAATAATAATAATAATAATAATAATAATAATAATAATAATAATAATAGTAATAATAATAATAATAGTAATAATTACAATAATTATGATAAAGTCTGGATATTCTTAATAAAATTATACAGATTAATTTTAAAGGGTTGTTAAAAAATTTACTAGCGCATTCAACACATCAAAACTAAGACAAAAGTCCTAATGAAAATTCTAAAAGTTCAAAATTAATATACCGAATCATTACTAATAGTTAATTTTTAAGTCTATTATAGAACATACGTGACCTATACTTTTCCGTAGTCATTACTAATTTAGAACTTTTTTCTTAATTGCGATGCACATATGCTTGTGAATTTGTAGATGCCCCTGTTAAATCATCCTGTATTATAAAATTCAATCTTATTTCAAGTTTTTCTCTCAATGCACAGAAATATGAAATTTGTTATGAAATAATGAAGTAGAAATTATAAACACTTTCGAAAATTACATGCAGAATTGGACAAAGTAAATGTATTAACAATCGTAACGGAAATATATATATATATAAATACATATATATATATGACTTATAATACTTACTGTGATCACTTCGCCTTTTAGATAAAATTTATTTATGACTATGCATAATATAGCACGTATATAAATTGAGTTTACTTTAAAAAATTTAAATAGATTTAATTTTGTAATGAAAGCAACCGATTAATAATATAATAATGTTAAATATATACACACACATAGACATACTATTGTAGATAATATACATCATAGTATCATTGAATGCTCTGAATTACATAATCTATGACTATAAATTACTGTTGCATGCAAGGTAATATAATTTGTGTACTATATCTATAAAATAAAGCTTATATTTAGTCAACTTATTTTTACTGGAGTTGGCTTGTTCACTCCCAAAAATATATTGCACTTTTTGAATATTTATTTAATATATTACAATTGATATTTCTTCATAAAAATAAGCTTATATTTATTCAGTAAAGTAATGAAAATAAGTGTCGCTAAATTATAATGTCACTTATTTTAAAAATTCTAAATTGTTATTACTATCAGTGTGCTTCCATTTACCACCTATTACCAAGATGGTCACGGTTACCAGTAAACAAAGTATTAAACCGTGTTTGTACACTTTCTTCGGGTTTGCCATTTGCATTTTTTTCATCCTCCTTCTGCAATCCGCATACTAGTGCATTAACTTCATTACGTATTACGTCTACTGCTAATGACATAAAAATAATTTTTATACATTAAACTTGATTGAGAAAGAAGTGATAATTTATGTTCACTTCTTTTTTAATTTTTTATGAAATCTTGTACAAGATATAAATCTATTTTACCTAATCGTAAATGCATTTCATCTATTTCTGAAAAATTTAGTTTGGATAACTCCTCTCTAAAAGTTCTTGTTATTTTTCTTCTAATATAATCCTCTTCTATTTCCTGTTTTGTTCTTGGTACTCTGAATCGAATACAACAGCATAATCCAATAATTATGCTAAGTAAAATAGATAAAATTATTCCTGCTAAATGCCAAACGCGAAATCCTGCTAAGGTTTCATCCTCAAGCCATCCTTCGACACCTCTTTCGACGCAGTCACCTGGTCTTATAGCAATTTCATTTGCAGAGCATGGTGAAATACTGGACGATGATAATAAAACTGATTCTACAGTGGTTTGATTAATCTCCATTTTCATAAATTCTATAAGTTTAGAATTAAAATATGTAAGTCATATTAATTGCAGTTATCATTTGAAAATATTTAAGTCAGATATTTGAATTATTTGACATATATACCTTTAATGAAACTATAATCTTTAATAGATATTTGTTTGATTTTTATATGCAAGTTTATTTTGGACGATCCTGTACAAGAGTATCGGTGGATTTGCAAGGTGTTATGTATATGTATATATGTGTGACTACATGTGTGTATCGACAGGAGTGTTTACACATAGAAGTTAGCGAAGTTAAATGATGTTTACATTCGCGTTTGTAAGAGCCGTCGGGCCTTACGAGACACCGATACGTATATACCGGGTGAATTGAAAAATACGATGACCGTAACTTTGTCGAGTAGACTAAAATACTCACGGTGTCTGTGCGTAAGGCACTCACGAAACTTAAGTGTATGATGAGATTGTTTTTTGAGTAATAGGGATGAGTTGGTTATTAAGATGAGTAAAGATTAACTTGAATGACAGCTGGAAAAAACTGAATGTTTACGAACTTGAATGACCGTATGAGAAAACTTTATTCGCACGTGTATGTATCAAAATAGAATGATCTAACGGCCACGCGGTTTGTTTCATTGATAAGCGAGATTGCTCGTTATTGATTTGTTTATCGATTTTTCGAGTTGCATCTTTGACAAGTTTTATACATTCATTTGTCCGGTGAATCACGCGATTTTAACGTGAGCGAGGAAGAGTAAATACGATGATCAGGCAAGTGTGAACGGGAATTTTAAACAATATTATTAAAATATGTGTTGTAATGTGTGTGTCTGTGTATACATTTCATTTATAAATAATTATTTTTGTAATTTTCTATATATATATATATATATATATAGGATACTTTTGTACACATGCTATATGATGTATTCACTTTGAAAGAATGCTTATGACTGAAGCATTAAGAGCAATACAATGTTACTTTATATTAGTGTTAGATGAAAGGGTGTGGTTATTAATGAATACCTTTATTTGGCACTCCCTATTTTACACCCTATGTATTTTTTTTTTTATCTTATATTCTTTTAGAAATCAATACTAAAGAAAGAAGTCTATTTAAAAAAATTAATGGAAACATAAGAAGAAGATTCAGAAATGCATTTAAAATTATATTCAAAATTAATATGTATATATATATATATAACACTTTTTGTTTATTATATAATAAGTTGTTATGAAATAATAACTAAAGCTAGACAATAAAAATAATTATTTATTAAAAAACAATATTGCAATTTTAATGATAATGGCATCTGCTATTATTATTTAACAATATTTATTAATTGTAAGTAAAGTAATCTTATCATTCCATTCGATTTTTTTCAATGTCTTTTGTAAAGTGCAGTCAAATTGTTAGATAAATTAATTTTTTGTTTTAAATAATTATAGTAACATATACTACATAAATGAACTTTTAATAGACAAGACGACATATTTGAAAAGCCGCATAAATTTGTTTTAAATCAATCATTCTAAATTTCATTGATTAATTTTATGACTTATAATGATCTGCGCAATATTTTATCAACTATGAAAATATTGCAATAAATAGCATTACATAAGTAGTATATCTTTTATAGATTTTTCAACTTAATAAAAATTTGTTTAAAAAAAATTATAAGTAAAGTGTATAGATATAAATTTAATAAAAAATTTGAAATAATTTATCAATATATTTTCAGAATTATAAACATATGCTTAAAATATCTTTCACTGTTTTAAAAAAATTACAATTGATATTACACATGAAGAACTTTTGGTTTACTAATTTCATAAGACAGTAATCAAGTTTTTGTCAATAAACCATGTGATGTTTACCAAAAAAATGAAGAATTGTCAGCGAAATTATGAGATAAATAAAACATTTCGTTTATCTCGCGCTTAGAACTGTTTCAGTACTGTTAACTTTTATACGAACTCATTCTTTCCTTATAAATGTCCGACCACTGTAAAATATGTAAAACATAAATATCTTATAACTTTAAAAATATAATATAATATAATATATAAACACAATTATTAGATACTCACGTAATTGTTTTCTTTTCAGTACTTTTTGTTTGAGATCTTGCGCGATTGAGTACTTTTAGAAAATCTGTAGTTTTAGTACGCATACGTGAATGAATATAAACTTTACTACACTTAATGTGATAATGTAAGTAATTTCTGAACATGTGTATTAAATCAATAGTATTGTTACGTGCTTCTCTGTTCGTATGTCGGGGAAATAATACTGAAAACAAATAAATTATAAAAATGTAAAATATCTTATATAATAATTTCAAATCATGTTTCGTTTAAAAAGTATTATATTTACCAAATGTAATATATCCAATGCAATCTCCTACCGCTGCTTCTGAATCTTGTAGTTCTAATGGGGGTTCTCGATGATTAAATAAAACTTGTGGTGCTGTATGGCTAGCACGTCTACCTTCTTTTAACTCTTGTAGAAATAATTTCCCAATAACCATGTCATCTTCGTCCTTAAATATAGTACTGAATACTACAGTAACTCTATCGCTTTTAGCTTCCACATACCTTGAATCAAGGAAGACACATTGCCAAAGAAAAAGTTATATTTATCTTACTTTAATTCTTTGCACACTGAGCGCTTTAATTAAATTAACATTGAAGAATAAAATTAATAAAAAAACTCACATAGTTTCCTGATCTCTATACTGAATAACTGCTCTCTTTTGAACTTGCGTACCAGGAGAATCATAGTATTCTTCCTGAAAATCAAAATATTTTTCAAATACGCTTGCAAAGCAATGCCTTTTTAACAGACCAACTTTCTTCACTAAAGCTTCCCAATCTTCTGGTAAATTTTCCAAATCTATCAAAACTGACACATTATAACCTAAAAGCATATAGAAAGTATGAAAGATTAAAATATAACTGTCGATATTTTCAATCTCGCTTTTCGCTTTTTTTCTTCCATACAAAATGAAAGATATAATATAAAAAATTGTTACCACTTTCTGGAGCAATAAGATGAGGACCGTATTCACGTTTCAGTAATTCATCCGCTCCATGTTCTTGCAGTTGTTTATAAAATTTAAGTAAAATACTAATCTGTAAAAAGATTTGTTCATAAATTGAGATTAATGATAGATTTATCGTAAATTTACGCATATGCACATATATGTATGTAATATACGTTAAAAAAAATATAGTTTGAAGTTTTAAAGTATAAATAATTAATGCATACATATTTATCTAATATATAAATAATAAACTTTAATTCATAAATAAAATCTAACATTAACTTACTCTAATTTTTGACTTGTCACCACTTAAATTTGAAATATGGAATAAAACACCATCAAAATCTGCTATAACCACATCCGTTGATTCTGGTTTATGTCTGCAATAAAATAATAATATAATATCTTATTACGTATTATAAATTTTAACATTATATATTGAAAGAAACAATGAAATAATTGATATATAGACTTATAATTGAAGAAAAATAATGATTTTCTTTATGGTCTTTGTTCTATTTTTTATAATATTATAATCTTCTCTTTATATTAGATATTTGAAAGTTTTTGATTAATATTAAAACACATTTACGTATTAACTAACGTGTAATAAACCAATAAATGTCAAAACATAAAGTTATATTACTATTACCTTTAATTCAAAATTAGTTAATTCGGTGTAATCAGATATTTAATGGATATTCCACTATTTCAATATTTGTGAATAATAATCAAATAAATGTGATGAATAGTAACGTGGACACCGCCCTAATTCATAATCTTTCACAAAGCTCTTACAATTGTACTACAAAATACTTAAAGTTAAATGAACAAAACATTGTACTTACCCTGATAAGGCATTTTTTATTTTATTTGTTAATGTTTCTTCTAGTATCCTGTTATGTATCTCAAGCAAAATCATTATAGTATTTTATTCTAAATAATTACAATATTATAGTACAATAATTAACAATTATCTACTGACTGATTTAACCATGTATACCGATTCATATATACGGCTCTGCCTAATTCTAATCTCCACTTTGACCACAGATTACACATAATAGATTGGTATGTCGTCTCTGTTATATGGTAAGTAAACGATTATTGCAACATTGGAAATCGGATTGTATGTTTATCGCCATTTTGACATTTGAAAAGAATTGAAAAAGAAACTTTTTCAATCAATCCACTAACTACCATCCACTAACACTACCAAATCAATCCACTATTTCTATACGGTAATTGTACATTTTCAAAAATAATGTTAATATAGTATCTTACTATTTAATAATTAAAATGTTAAACTTGTTCCCTCGATCCAATTTTAGCACTAGGGGCGCTGGTATTTCTTTATCAATTTTGTGTCAAGTTTTACCTCTAGATAGATAGTAACCCTTTCTTCTTTATAAAAGTGTAAGAAAATTATACAAGTATTGTCCAACAAATCTTTGAAAAAAATATTTTTACCTATAATGCATTAATATGCATCACTCATATTACAGACAGGGATTTTTTGCTCACAAACGGAGAGTAGATACTTGTACATATAGAATGAACCAGATAAATATAAAGTTTTATTTAAAAAGAAAACTGAGATGATCTCGAAATTTTATCAAAAAAGTAATTATGAAAACAAAACTATTTTTACTTTTATGTCCATTGAAATAGTTTAAGTTATATTGAGAAATATTTTCATGCATTCAGAAGAAATTTTAGGAATGGTCTTTATGGACTGTGATCCAAGACCACGTTCAATCAAAGCATCCTCTTCGTAGTATAAAAAATAAAAATAGTTTAAAAATTAAACTAATAATATTTGTTTTAAGTGTAACAAGTTTATATGCAATAAACGAACTCTAGTGTTAACTATAAACAAGATGTAAATAGCTTTATTATTATTTACAATCGTTAATTTAAAAAAATGTACGAAACATTAGGAGAAATAATACATCGATGTATACTGATAAATTGTAAAGTATATTACTAAAGTAAACTTGTCAATTATAAATTCGATGAATTTCCCACAGTAGTCTGTATTAAGGTATTATTATCTTTATCATTTACTTTTGATTCCCATAAACTATTCCTTATAAATCTTTGTGCTGCATTTTTATTTATGCGTGGCATAAGGGTCTTCTTATCTTCAATTTGTTTAGCACGTAGCATCGACCTTTTTAATCTATCATTTTCATTTTTAATTTGATGTTTCGATGGATCAATACCTATAAATAAGAAAGACATTTTATATAATATATAGAATAGAATAAAAAATTTTAATTATACAAGGAATATCTAAATGAATGATACAATCGTTTAATAGAGAATCCTCTGCTAGTAAAGTAAAAATACAATAAATATTTTCAAATAAACAATGCATGGAAATGTTGAATCAGTTTATGATTCACTATTATGTATATTTCAACAGAGATATTACTTTAAACAATTTCTTCATTAATGTAATGTTATATTAATATTAATAATATCGATAAATGTATTATCCATACATTAACATTTTTTATTTACATGTAAAATCATTTCTTTGTATAATTATAAGTTATATAATTACATACAAAATCTGAACACAGTTAAACATTTACCTTTAGTACGTAAATACATCCAAAACATGCTATTAAGACTATAAGACATTAATAAATTGTATTTTATTTTGTCACTATTAGAAAGTTTATCATATATATCAGGATCATTAATAAGATCAAGTTTCTCTTCGAATTTTAAGGTTGCTTCATGAAATTGTTTTAACCTCCAAATGAGCTCCTCATCGTGTGATAAATCCTCATAATCAACATCCATTCTTGTTCTTAAATATTACTGGATTTCAAAAACAATATTTCACTTTAATTATCAAGCTAAGACATAAGAAATATTTATTTCACGTTTATTGAAATTTATTATACGATTTCTTCTGCCAATTTGTAATCGTAACAAATAAAATTATTGTTCTACTCTCTTTTTAATAGCGCCATATTGAAAACTGAATTTGTAAACATTAAGCCTCATTTCTATGAATACAAAGATTTGATAATATTTTTACACCTTCCTAATTTGATAGAAAAATATTGTATATTATAATTATTTGTGATATATAAATTTTAGAAAAATATCACAATAATATATAATATTAAAACTTTGCAAGAAATATGTATTCAGTCAAAGGACAATCTTGATGAAATGTAATCTATGGTTAAATAACCTTAGCAACAGAATGACTTAACTAGTTCAATTGTAAAGTTTTTTATCATGGATTTTTAAAAATATATATATATCTTTTTACTTAATCACTTGCGTATATAAAGAATTAATGTCACATATTTGAGATAACTTTCTAAGACTTGACGTTAATTTTTCATTTGAATATAATTGATAAAACACACAATAGCTTTCTTTAAATAAACATAGCGATAAATAAATGAAAAGGTACGATAACTTTAAATTTTGCTTCAATGAGAAAAAGAAATAATATGATTTATTTAAATTTTTTCAGATAAGCTTCAATAATTTATTTTTTGTAGAATTGTTTATTCATTTCATATAAATAATGGATGAACATTTACGTCGTTATGTAAATATGTTAAATGAAAATGAAATTACTATTCGGAATAATGCTGGATGTGTACTTTCAAGACTCTGTGAAAAGATTTTAAATTTTCCTGATGAAGAAACTTATCGTATAATTCATCTCAGTGATTCGAACATCACAGAAAAATTACTTCCAGCAAGCGGTGCCATGGAATGCTTATTCGAAATAGGTTTTACAGAGGTATAGAAAGACATAATGAGAAATACAGAAAGATATAAATAAACATAAGTTTAGAACTAACTTATATATTTTATTATAAATGAAAAAAACAGGATGGTGATCGTCTTAGTCTTCCAAAGACTGCATCGCTCACGAAACTGAAAACTTTACAAAAGTTACTATCTTCAATTGTTTTATCGAAATCAAATACTTCAAATTTAAATCAGAAGCATACAATTGAAGAATCAACAAAATCATCTATAAGATTATCTGATGAAGAAAAATTTTTTAACACAATTACCGAACAGTTTCATAATGTTATGCGATACGAAGATTGTAATTTACAAGAGAAAGCAAGAAAAGTAATACCAATCGCGCAATTAGAAATCAAAACGATGGAAAGATTAAGGAAATTCCAAAAGTAGAGATATTGTTTTTCTTTATTCCTCTTTTTATAATTATTTCTACATATATATATTATTTTTTCACAGAAACATAAAACATGCTATACTTGATAAAGAAATGAAGTCAGATTCAGCTTTAAAAGAAGATTTAGTAAATTCAATAGATTTATTTTTAATGGAACTTCTGCACTGGTTCAAATATGATTTTTTTCAATGGGTTGATAGTCCATTATGTACAACTTGTTCTACAGAATGTTCGTTTGAATATATAATACCTTCTTCAGATCCAAAATGTTCCCGTATAGAAGCTCATAGGTATTCATTTAAATAATTATTATGTATATTTGAAAATATATCCTATTATATATTAATTGACATTTATTATGCTTAGATGTAATATTTGCAAAACAGTAGTGAAATTTCCACGATATAGCGATCCAGAAATATTGTTAACTACTAGATCTGGGCGTTGCGGAGAGTGGGCAAATGTATTCACACTTCTATGTCGTACGCTAAATTATGATGCAAGACTTGTATATGATGTGACAGATCATCTATGGACAGAAGTATGTACAAAAATATATATATGTATAGATGTAAAATTTACACAATTCTATAACTATCCTTAGTAATTTCTCATTCTTTCATAGATATGGTCTGTTACTGAAAATAGATGGATACATATAGATCCATGTGAAAATGTAATAGATCAGCCATTAATGTATGAACGTGGCTGGAATAAAAAATTAAGTTACATAATAGCTTATTCACGAGACGAAGTTCAAGATGTTACTTGGCGTTATACGCGAAAACAAAATAATGTAATGGCAAAGAGAAGAAAGTGTTCAGAAGAAAATTTATTAAATTTAATTCAATCTTTAAATGAAAAACGTCAAAATTCTGTAGGTTACAGTATAGCACGTAAACAATACGTTATTAAAAGACGCCTCCGAGAGCTTGTAGGAATGCTCAATTATCCAAACATTCCAAATGAATACGATAATAATATTTATAACGAAAGAACAACAGGTTCTTATGCATGGAGAATGGCTCGAGGAGAAGCAAGCCAGGTACAGAGAAATATTTTATCACATTTGAATTCATATTAATTATCATCATTTACTTTTCTTTCAACTTTCTTTTCCACTTTTGGTTTCATTCAAGCACAATGTAGACAAAAGTTATACGTGGGATATTTCCAAAAATGGCAAATCATTCATTCTTCAATATTTTATTGTTAAAAATATATACAAAGTCATACATTCTGATGACCATATCCTAGAACAGAAATATGATTGGCGAGAGGGAGTAAGTTCTGTTGAGGGTGGAATTTTTCATAAAGTAGAAAATGATTGGAAGATGGCATATTTAACTCGTTCAGCGGGTGCTGAATATGGATACCTAAAATGGTCGTTTGAAGTTCGTAATCCAAACTTATATGTAAATACATTAAATTTACAAGCCAAAACAACAGTTTTTCAAAATGCAAAAATTGTTTGGGAAGTGGAAGGTATTTTTCCTTCTATAAAGAAAAAAAATACTTCTGTAATTATTCCTATTTCTACGCCCAATGATTTTACTACGGAAAAGTTAAAAGGAGCAAAACAGTTAAATATTACGGTAAAACTTTCTGGTGGGGAGGGTAGTATTGCTTGGCAACATGCTCAATTATTTAGAGAAAGTTTAAATAATACTGAAGAACCATCTATGATCATTGTTATTAAACTTGGTGATCACATTAATTAGTGTTTATATATAAAGTTAATATAAATATTAATTATAATATAAATATTTGTGATTTTATACATAAAATAGGTG